TGAATATGAGTTGTCCAAATGTACCCTTTGCATACGATTCATGAGATAACTAGTAATGAACTTGATAGATGCTTGAGAAAATCCAATATATTTGCATTTTGAGATCAATAGTGAATGATTGATAGTGTCAAAAGACTTGGAGAAGTCAAGCAGTACAAGAGCCGCTGCTTGACCCCGATCCAAAGCCTCAACAATATCATCAGTCACCTTAAGCAGGGCAGTGGTGGTGCTATTCCCTACTTTGAAGCCAAACTGGTTTTTTGGAATTATGTTATTCTCAGAGCAGTACTCTTTCAACTGATCATGTACAGGGTGGTCCATAAGTCCTTTGAAATTTCAAATTTGAATAAAATTTAACGGGTGAGCGTGAGCGGCGCGGGCGAGGTGGGGGCAGTATCTTCAGTGTCTGGGAATTCAGTCGCCATGGAGTGTTTCACTGGAGCGGATCGTGCTTTTTGTGTGCGCGCGTTTTATCAAAATAATGATTCGGCAACCATTGCGCGACGTAAATATCGAGAATACCACAATTTACACAATTTTACAAAGTGTCCAACAGCTCAAACGATTAAGAACTGGGTTGCTAAGTTCGAAGAGACTGGTTCGACGTTAGATAAACAGCGGTGGGGTCGACCAAGGACAACTCGTATTGAAGAAAACATCAACATTGTGGCAGTCTGTTTGTCAAAATCCTACCCAGTCTACTCGTAAGCATTCCAGTGCACTAAACGTACCCAGAACATCTTTACAGCGGATTTTAAGGAAAGATTTACGTCTGCATGCTTACAAAATTCAGTTAGTGCAGGAATTAAAAGATAATGACGCTATTCAGAGACTAAACTTTGCGAATGAAATGTTGAATCGATTTTCTTCGCTCAATAACGTGTTGTTCTCCGACGAGGGTCACTTCCATTTAAACGGGCACGTAAATAAACAAAATTGCCGTTATTGGAGCCCCGAAAATCCAAGGCGTAAGCATCAGAAGCCCTTACACAGCCCTAAAGTTACAGTTAGGGCTGTTATGTCAGAGCATGGCATCGTAGGCCCTTATTTTTTTGAGGACGACAGAGGTCGCACATTAACTGTTACTTCGGAGCGGTATGTAGCAATGATAGAAGAGTTTTTAACACCAGCGTTGCAGAATTTTCCAGGATATAATACGCAGACCTGGTTTCAACAGGACGGAGCAACTGCCCACACCTCCAACACTTCTATGCCCGTCGTCTGTCAACTTTTTCCCAGCAAAGTAATTTCTCGAAGAGGAGACATTTCCTGGCCACCACGTAGTCTAGATTTAACCCCAATGGACTTCTTTTTATGGGGCTACCTCAAGAGTAAAGTGTACGACACCACTCCGCGATCAGTTGATGTCCTGAAAGAAAATATCCGAAGAGAAATGGCAAGCATTACAGTGTTGACTTGCCGCGCAGTCATCGACAATTTTAGACGTCGTTTATATGAGTGCCGTGATCGTAATGGATTGCATTTAGACGATGTGATTTTTAAAACATAATTCCCATTCAATAAAGATGATAACAAAAATAATAATTCTTCATAATGTAACTAGTTTGGTTTTATTCCTTTTTTTTCAGCTCAAAGGACTTATGGGCCACCCTGTACTATCCTTTTGAATATTTTTGATAGAATCGGAAGTAAACTTATTGGGCGCAGGTCGGAATAAGCTGAAGGGTTATTAGTTTTTGCCAAGGGAACAATTACTGCTTGCTTCCATACAGAGCGAAAATAGTGAAGTTCCAAACAGGAATTAATCAAATGCGTTAAATATTTGCCAATCACAGGAAGACACAGTTTTGTCATATTAGGCGTAATACCATCATGCCCACAGGCATTAGATTTTATTTTAAATAAATGCGAACGTATATCTTGCTCAGTGGTCATGACCAGATCAAATTTGAGCGATTCATTACTGTTGATTTATTTTTTATACTGATGCAGAAACCTAAAGATTGCTGTAAGGAACTTGAAGACAGATCGCTATTCCGATTTTTGAACTGCATATCTGAGATAAGTCACATCAGGGAGATTGTTGCACAAACTGGAGACCATATAAACAAAGGAATCGGCTGTTATATCAATTCAGTTTTATCATATTAGGCGTAATACCATCATGCCCACAGGCATTAGATTTTATTTTAAATAAATGCGAACGTATATCTTCCTCAGTGGTCATGACCAGATCAAATTTGAGCGATTCATCAAGTATGTTATTATCATAAAATTATATTTCACTAGCACAGTGCTGAGTATTATCTTCAAAAACAGATAAAAAATAATCGTTTATATGCGTTGCGTTACGTAAACTAACAGGTATGTGGTTACGCTTCTTAGTCTGGATGTTCAAATTCCTTATACCCTTATATAAAGAAGATGAATTATTAGTTTCTTGTAAGTGCTGAAGATAACCAGCCTTTTCTCTACGCTGTGATGCAAGAGCATAATTTCTCAGTTCTGTGTATTCTGTCCAGTTCTAATTTGTCCTATTGTGTTTGTATTTTATTAAAGCTGCATCCCTCTGCTTGAAAATAGCTCTTAAGTTTTGCGTTAACCATGGAGCAAAGGGCTTGCTTACCCTGGCTGTACGCAACGGTGCATGTATATCAAACAATGAAATTATAAGATCATTTAGAAATTCCACTTTGTCATCAATGTCTCGAATACAAATAATATCATTCCAGTTTATACTCAGTACGTCGGCCATAAAGTTGTCATGATCAAAATTTTTGAAATCACGGTAAGTGACAATTTTTTGTGGGGTCAGATGTTTATCAAAAGTTGCTTCACAGTAAACCAACCTATGATCGGTGAAGAAATCTACATTTAGTGTACCAATATTATGACACTGTTCAGGAAAATTTACAAAAATAGGATCTAGTAATGTAATAGAAGAAGAACAAATTCTTGTAGGCTCGTCAATCAATTGTTTAAAAGAATATGAGTCGAAGCAAAGAGATATTTTGTTACTTAGATTTAGCAAATTGACATTTACATCACCCAATATGATAATATGGTCGTAAACAGTAGACAAATGCGATAAAAGTGTATCCAGAGTTTCAACTGCAGAATTGAGATTAGCCTCAGGAGGTCTGTACAACAATCCTAAGGCAACTGAGGACGACTTGAATTGAAGTTTCAACCAAAATTGTTCAATTACTGATGGATCATCTCCAATATAATCAGTTATAGAAATATGTTCACACTTTATATTATCATTTATATACACACCTATTCCGCCACCCCTACTGTCTCTATCCTTCCTATGAAATGTATAACCATCTATAGACAAAGTATCTGAAGGAACCATCTCAGTGAGCCATGTTTCAGTGAGGGCAAATACATAAAATTTTTTTTCTTTGATGAGGACCGACAGGTCAGTGAATGAAGGTACAAGGGAACGAATATTGACATGTCCAAATTTCACTGAGCTTACCTTAACCGTAATCGATCCTACTTTTTAATTTAGAGATGTACCTTAAATATATAGGGCAAGTCATATCCCTTGCTGAATGGTCCACTGCAATGTTTTCCTTCTTAAAAATTATTATAATTAATACAGCTGCTACATGATTTATTTGTAGATTTACATTCTTTTAAGCAATGATTTCCGGAACAAGAAGGGCACCTAACAGATGCAGATCTGCACTGCTTATCAGTATGACCAAACACTGAGCACTTATAGCATTGCACAATTTGAAGATGACCGATAACTGCACATCTCTTCCAACCGATATAGACGTATTCTTGCACCGTTACTTTTTTCCGGACCTCGGGAGAAACCTCTAAGATGAGGTCACAGCCATTCCGCATTTTTAATTTGGTGATCACTTTTATATTCGAAGAATTGAAGGTATCCAAGTTGTTTTGACAAAATAGGCTACCTATTATTTGATCGTCACTGTTTAGATCCTCTGTTATTTCAACATTCTTCACACGAACGCGTGGTTTATGTTTTTTTGCCTCATCGACAACGTATTCGTTTCCTAACTGGGTTTGTAGAACGTTTTTGAATTTGTCCAAATTTGATTTTTTGTTGCAAATGACGGCAACACCATTCTTTATCTTCCTTGTACTATTTATATAGACTTTCAAATTGGCAGGGTTTACTACTTGAGCCATTCTTTTGAAAATATCCTCAGAATTTCTTTCAGAAGATTTTACCAGCAACACAGATGAGTCATTGTTGATATACAATGGCCTTTTTAACACTTGGCTGTACGATTCTGCTGAAGCAGTTTTTTGCAGCATTCCACTATTACTCGATGACGTTTTTGTCGCATTCAGCTCCTTTTCGTACACATCAATTTTAAATTTCTGCAACTGTGATGCATTCTCTAATTCCGTTACCAATTTTTCAAGTATGCATTTTTCGCGTTGTAGACATTCAATTTCCTTTTGTTTTAGACATTCACTTTTTACCTTGTTTTTCTCAGCTTGTCCACCATTGTCGTCAACACAAATCGCTCCATATTCTGCGTTTTTACACATATCACAAAACCAAGCAAAATTATTAGATTTAGACAAAATTTTCAGGGCATCGTCCTTCACTGACACGCACTGACTATGGTAACTCTTTTTGCATTTTTTGCAGCACGCTAACTTACTATTCACGATAAAATTATCGGAGCAACGCTCACATACATGTACGTCATCCGCCATCTTTCGCGCATAAAAGATAAACGAAGTGTCATCTGGAAAACATATAAATAAAATACATTGCTGAAAAAGTGTACATTGTACTTGAACAAGCTCACCGTTGGGATCGAAACGTCGTAAACATATGTGGTTTGATATGGCCTGACTAACATGGAAGATGACCACCATGAAAATCACAGGATAAGTTTCACATGTTACAAAGGTCCTTATGTTTTTATACGTTCATGTATTTGTACTAGACTAGTTGCTTTTAAAAGCGTCTTACTTACACAGTATCCTTTTGTTCACTAACAAGAATCTGTAATACATTGTATAGTAATATGCAATTCCAGTTTGCCTCCACCACAGCTTCGCTATACTTTGATGGCGATACAGCTCCAGTATTCCAGACAGGCATAACCGAGAAGAGACCTGGAGGAGGTGCTTGGGGTTGCGGTAAGCTCCTGGAGGCGAGTAGGAGGAAGTCACCTGTCAATCAAACGGCGGCTACGAAATTGATCGGAATCTCTGCTGCACTGACAGGCACTAATAGATTCAGATTGTATGTGTATACCTAATGACGTAGGATGTAGAGGAATCTGGAATTTGGGTATAATAAAGGCATGTAAGTAAGGTACATATAATCATGGAGGTTTTTTATCCTTTTGCAAGGAGGTAGATTCGAGGTAATCCAAGAAGAGGCGACGCAGTTCTAGTTTTGAGAGTTTCCAACAAGATTTACTGCCCAGCATGAGGCAATAAAAAGCAACTGGAGAAGATTCGATACAAAACTCTGAAGGTTTCCGAGACAATCTGAGGATATCCGGGGTCATTCAAAGAGACTCATTGATGAGATTCACATTCCAAGAAGATCGAGTACATTTCAAGGCGATACATGGTAATCCCAGGAAGCTTCAGCCAGTATATTTATCAAAAAAGTCGGATGGGATCCAAAAGAATTTGAGAACATCTAAGGGCCTCCAAGGAAATGCAGGACTTCTAAGATATTGTAAAAATGTCCAAGGGGACTTCAAATTCTTATTACAAAGCTCAGGTGACCGGTGAAGATACTGAGTTAGTAGTAGTATTAGTAGCAAAATGAAGCATGTGATTATTTTTATTCAATCATAAGAGAAATTTTCGAGAACAACGTTCCTAAATATAAAATGAATCCTCGTTCATATCCTCCTTGGTTTACAATGAAAATTATTTCAAATATACTAAGTGACATATAAATCCGAACACCCAGTTTAAATGGTTTTATTTTAATAAAATTTTGTAATAGTACTTAGTGAAGCATAATAAGTAAATGATAAAAATTTCAAAATGATTACACTGCTTTAAAGCCCTTTGACCTTTAATAATATGTGGATGCACCCTGATGTGCTACGCATTCTCCAACGCGCCTAGGCATGCTTCTGATCAGGTGGTCAATGTCCTCCTGTGGTATCTCATTCTAGGCAACCACCAACTCCTCTCGAAGTGCTTCTAGAGTCTGAGGAGGACGTTGCAAATTGAGCAATCTCCTACCCATCATATCCCACACGTGCTCAATTGGGGCTACGTCGGGAGATTTTGGTGTCCATGGTAACAATGTGACATCATTATGTTGAAAGAAGTCTATTGTGACTCTTGCAACATGTGGTCGTGCATTATCTTGTTGGAAAGTTGGATCTGCCAGGGTGTCAAGATAGGGTAAAAGATGGGGTTCTAGAACTTCGTGGATATAATGCTGCGCGTTCATGTTACCTCTAATGAAGATTAAAGGTGACCTGGAACCATAAGCTATAGCACCCCAAACAATAACTCCAACTGTGTGATGAATTTGTCTTTCAACAAAAAACTGTGGATTCCTCCTTTCACCACGTCGCCTTCTAACCCTGGCACGACCATCGTGCATGCCTAAACAAAATCGAGACTCGTCACTAAAGACAATACTGTTCCATTCCTGATCCCAGAGTGACCGTTGTCTGCACCACTCAAGGCGATTACGTCGGTATTCTCGAGTTAAAGGGAGGACCCAGTGTGGCCGGTATGAAAACAAGCCAAAACTTCTCATTCGTCAGTAAACACTTCGCATGCCAATAGGTCTTCCGTGTTCTGCAAACCATTCATTTGCAATGGACCTGGTAGTGGAGAAACGGTCCCTTAAGGCCAATAATCTTAGGCGGCGATCTTCACGGTCTGTTGTTCTACGGCGGCGTCCAGTGCCCCTTGCTCTTTGCGTACGGCCTTCTCGAAGCCATGTCTGACAACACCTAACCACAGTGTCTACACTTCTTTGCACTCTAACTGCAATTGCCGGTAAAGAAAGTCCAGCTTCCCGAAGTCCCACTATACAGCCCCTATCAAACTCACTAAGTTGACGAAATCGTACAGGTCTCCATACTCTAGGCATCGTAACCGATCGTAAAGGATGTCAAGAACCAAAATCCGCCAACGTTGATTCTTTACTGCGGCTGAAATATTCATTTTTAGAGCGTTAGTGAATTAAAAAAAAGCAGTATGAAAACCGGAATGTCCAACTGATAAGGCTGAAAATTTTTTCACTTGTTATTTACAGTAAGATAAATACATTCACCAACTTTTATTACAATAAAACCATTTAAACTGGGTGTTCGGATTCATATGTCACTTATTATATAAGAGTAAAGGATAGGTTGAGGAATAAGTACAAAGCAACCCATTCAAGCCACTGTTATTTAAAGTTCAAAGAACTTCGAGCTATGATTAAAAATCAAATTATAGTCTCCTATTCAGCTTACATTCAAAATGCCGAAGATAGGATCAACAAGGATCCCACTAATTTTTGGTCATTTGTAAATGCAAAAAAGAAAAACTCTAGAATTCCAGGGAACATGACGTTTAATCAAAACACTTGTACCTCGCCACATTACAAACTCGATGCCTTTGCAAACAAATTTTCACAACAAATTTAACTAGTATGAATATATCTCTGAACAATGTAAGGGATGCGGATATAATTCATGATTTCAGAAAGTTAAAGAATAAAATGAATTCAGGCTATGATGGTGTGCCTAGTTTTTTAATAAAGGATTGCATACATGTATTGGCGAAACCGCTTTGCATGATCTACAATATGATATTGTATCGGGAAAATGACCAAGGTATGTCCTGTCTTTAAAAGTGGCGATAAAATTAATACTTGTAACTATAGGCAGATTGCGATACTTTCCAATTTTGCAAAGATTTTTGAGGTTATTATTTATAATACCATTTTTACCTCTGTCTAATGTGCTTTTTCTCCTAACCAGCATGGTTTTGTTGCTGGCAGATCAATAGTCACAAATCTGACCAGCCTGACTCAAACTATCTCTGAGGTATTAGATGACCAGGGTCAGTTGGATGTCATTTATACCGACATTCAAAAGGCCTTTGATCAGATAGATCATCACTTGCTTCTTGCTAAGCTTGAAATGATTGGGTTGTCTAAATCTTTATTTAAGCTTATCAGATCATGTTTAGTTGATAGAGATCTGTACGTTGAGTTTGGTGTTTTCCAATCTAATTCTTATACAGCAACATCTGGAGTGCCCCAAAGATCCAATGTGGGTCCTTTGTTTTTTGTGTTGTTTATCAATGACCTGTCGCTGGAAATGCCTGGTATGCATTCACTTTTTGCTGATGACTTAAAAATTTATACTGCTATTCACAGCTATCACGACTGTATCTCTCTCAAAGATAGCTTGCACTTGGGGCATTCTTGGTGTTCCAGAAAGTCTCTCACGATCAATGTATCAATGTGTAAAGTTCTGTCTTTTAGTAGGAAGCAAAATGTGATACATTATGATTATAGTATCGATGACCACTTACTCGAACGAACAGAAACGTTCAAAGATTTGTATTCGTTGCCAAGCTGACATTCAAGGATAACATCACTCAAATGGTGAATTCAGCGTTTAAGAGGTTAGGCTTTTTTGTAAGCAATTGGTCAGGTTTTTCAAACATATCAAGTCTAAAGCTTTTATATTTTACATTTATTAGAAGTAAGCTGGAATACGCTTCATCAATTTGGTCTCCAATCTGCAACAATTCAAGGGTTAGTATTGAATATGTGCAGCGTAAGGCTTTAAATTATTTGTATTACAAATGTTACGGCAGTTATCCTGAAAGAGGTTTCGGCCATTCTACGTCAATTTGACATAGACGCCATCTTTGTTTTCTGTCACCGACATGTCATTTTGTTAGTTGAATGTTTACCATTGATCGCTATGGAGTCGTATTCGATTGAAGACCGCATTAAAGTTTTTGAAGAGCACTACAAAAATGGTGCAAAAATAAAAAACACGTTTCGCGCGCTTCGTGAACATTTCGGTCGCAACAACCGCCCAAAGGAAACATCCATTGGTCGTCTGGTGCGTAAATTCGAGCCAACAGGTTCTGTGGCAAATCTGCCAGGCTCTGGCCGGCCAAGGAGCGTTCGCACACCGGAAAATATTGCTGTTGTGAAGGAGAGTGTGAGAGACGATCCGAAACAATCAACAACGCGTCGATCCTAAGAATTGAGCATTTCGAGAACCAGTTTGCTCAGCATTCTCCACAAGGATTTGAATGTACATGCCTACAAGATCCAATTGACGCAAGAGCTGCGTCGGACCGACCATATTTCACGCCTAACGTTCTCAGATTGGCTCCTTGAACACCGCCAAATAGATGCCAATTTTTCATCAAAAATCATGTTCTGCGACGGAGCGCATTTCACTTTGAATGGGAAGGTAAACAAGCAAAACTGCCGCATCTGGGCGAACGAAAATCCCCGTGAGTATCAAGAGCAGCCGATGCATCCTCAAAAAGTGACTGTATGGTGTGCATTGTGGTCAAAAGGCATCATCGGACCTTACTTTTTCGAAAATGCGGCCGGGGACGCCGTTACCGTCAATTCTGAGCGATATCACGTGATGATGGAGGACTATTTTTTGCCGCAACTTGAAGGAATGGATATGGACGATGTTTATTTCCAACAAGACGGTGCAACATGCCACCCAACCAACGTCAATATCCATCGATTGCTGTCCTTCTTCGGTGATCGCGTGATTTCGCGCAGAGGAAATGTGCCATGGCCACCAAGATCGTGCGATTTTACTCCCTTGGACTTCTTTTTATGGGGATATTTGAAAAGCAAAGTCTACGTCAACAAACCAGCCACCCTCCAAGAACTCAAAAACTACATCATTGCCGAGATAAATGCCATAAAACCGACCATGTTGCAAAATGTCATTGAAAATTTCGACCATCGCGTGGACGTCTGTAAATCCAGTCGTGGTGAACATTTGAGCGATATTATTTTTCATACATAAATGGTATAAATGAACCTTCGAAATTAAGTACCCAACTTGATTTGAATATCAATCTTTCTTGTTTTAATATGCGTTTACTTTCCTGCGTCCGTTTTGGACAACCCCATATTTTATTAAACATTTTTGATATAGAGTCATTGCATCTTATACGCGATATATCAGCGCAACATCTTTTGTACAAAATCATACACAATCAAGTTGATTGTTCATTCATTTTAGGTAAGCTTAATTTTCGTGTGCCTAG